AAGCCAAAGGGAAGAGGATATGTCTGTGCCTGGATGACTGGAAAGAAAAGATGAAGCCTTCACTTTTGGGGTAACCCTGGCCAACTGGGGAGTCCTGGGTGGACCAGGCTGCTTGTGTCCCCATCAGTACTCATCTCCCTACTTCCTGGGGCCACTGCCCAGGGACAGCTGAGCTGTTAGGGTTCTGTCCAGGCCAGGCCCTGTGTTTCTGTGGGATGGTAGATAAGTCACTTCCCCTCTCAGCCTGTGTTTCCTCTTCTATAAAATATAGGGCCTGAGGGCCTCCTCTCTGGATCCTGACAGTATGATTGTGGCCCCTTCTTTCGGAGTGGGTGGAAGTAGGGGGCAAAGTCAGGCCACTATGATTTGCTGTGTTTTCTTGCTGACAGAGGTGGGGCTGCCCTTCCTTGCCCCAGGCCTCTGTTGTAAGGGCTGGGCTGTCTGGCTGTTGCCCCTCCCCTTCTCCCAGAGGATGTGGGACAAGGTTACTCCATCTCCTGATCTGCTCTGGCCCCCAATTAAGAGAAGTTCTCCTGGGGTTTCCTGGGCCCATGGTTTGTCTCCTGTCCAGCCCAGCCCAGCCCTGCACTCTCTCTGGTCTTGAGTTTCTAATATTGCCAGTTATGATTCTCAGGTGCTGAAAGCTCCCCAGATAATTGAGCCATCTAAGGTCTTGTCCACCTCTTCCCCGCACAGCCGAGAGCTCCCTATCCCCTACCTCACCTTTGGCATCCCTATCTCTTTTCCTCCCATTTCTTCTCCCAGTCACATCCCCTTGTTTCTTTAGGCCTCAGTGTCCATCTTTGTTTCTCTAAAACCCCTCTTAGATCATAGTCACCTGCTTTCCCCCATGACCCTAGGCTGGCCTCATCACTTCATTCCCACATGGCTGCTTTCAGATCTTCCCCCAGCTTTGAACTTCCTTCCCATGCTCCGGCCACCCTGATGCCAAGCCCCCTCTGTGCAATGGATTGGTAGTTCCTGTCAGGCTGAGGTTAAGTGAAGAAGTGCA